GCGCCTCCAGCTACCCAAAGAAAGCCAATGCGTGGCTGGAACTGACGGCATCTGCAAGGCTTTGCCCGTGGGTAGCCAGCAAGGGGGGGCTCGTGTTTTGTTCTGGTGAGGGAGCTGCGTGGCTGGAGTCCTCGCGGCATCGCACGGGGACAGGAGGGTTGGGGTGGCGGGAGGGACGGTCTGGGGTCTGTTGGTGCTACCGAGATGCCGGGTCGGTGCCGCACGGGTGGGCAGCCGAGGAGGGGGTTCTGGAGGCTGGTGGCTCTTGGCTCCCGGCAGGATCTGGCAGCCCCCAGGCAGGAGCTGCCCACTCGGCCTCCAGGCGGGCTGGGGAGGGGGCGAGAGCACGCGAAGCTCCGTTTGCAGAATTATAAAGCAAAGCTGATAACATCACGCCTGTAGAGTTTAGCTTGGCATGCACGGCTCGGTTCAGTAGCGCTCTCCCCGGCCTCCTCCTCCGCTTTCTGCTCTGGAATTAGCGCTTTGTTTGTGGATCAGCTGAATCTATGGATCTCGGTATAAATGCGCTGGCTCCAGAGCAGCCATCAAGCGCTATTAATTTTGGGAAGCGCTGCAGGGATTACATGCATATTTAACAGCCGAGGCACCAAACACGAGGATGCTGCTCGCTTCAGTAATGTATCTCCAGGTCTCAAACATTTCCTAGGGGGTAATTCTGAACTCTGTGAACCACTTATTCACGGACTATTTCACAATTTATTACTGAAAATGGCCAGACGTCCAATTCACAAGCTCTCTCGGTTTGCTAATCGATTTCTCAGTGAAGGTGCCCTCAATTTCATAACTTCACAGTTCCCGTATTGCTTGGGGAGAGTGGCGCTGGCTGCTGGGGTAATATTTCTCTTCCAACAAGTCACTGCAATATGATCAACAGGGGAAAAAATAACCTTTCATGCTTTCCCTTTTAAAGGTTCTTCCTATAGCTCCTCTACAATCACTTACACCACAGCAAAAGTACAAAGAAGTATTGCAAATGCAAATAAAATTTAGGGTTGTGTTTTCTTTTTTAGAATCCAGTATATGAGAAGGCAATTACTGAAGAACTCGGCTCCAAGCACACTTTCTCCTCCTGCAGGCACGGGAACTGCAGGACAGCCGTGGTTCCCATGGCACGTGTGCGGGCCCAAGGAATGGCACAATTAATAGGAACTGATCTCACCCTTGTACGTTATGTAATTTGTACATGCTCGCGGAGCACGAGATGGAAATGCTGCCTGAGAAAAGCATGTCAAAGGCAGATGGCTGACAGCTCTCCTCCTGGCTCCATCGTTTTGCATTATGCCGTGCTCTGAGGTAGGGTGATTATTGCACCCTAGACCCAGGCGCTTCCTCCACTCTGCCTGTACATCCTACCCCTGACAAGATGCATCTTTGCTGGTTCCCCTCAGCCCTCTCCTGGCGCAGGCAGTTCTGCACCATCCCCAGTGCCACCAGCCGTCCCACCCCGGGAATCTTCCCCGGTGTGCTGCACACAGTTCTCGTTCAAGAGAAGGGGGGAAGAGGAGTCATTTCATAACTCCTGGGGGGCTTTCTCCAGCCGCAGCATCGATTGAACGACTCCCTTAGAGCCGGTCCTGAGCCTCCCCCCGGCAGTGGCTCGATGTGATGTGCTGTTCGTAGTGCCCTAAAAACCTGCATCTCCCGTGTCCAGGCACCAGCAGCACTTTAGGTGATGGTGCGAGATGGGCTCAGCCTGGCGTGGCAGGTGTCTGCATTTGGCCTGTTAGAAAAACACAACCCAAACCCCTGCTTTCTGAATGCACCAAGAATGCTTAAATGCAAATTAAATGCAAAACCATAATTCAGGCCCAATGGTGGGCAAGCTGTCTGAGGGCTGATATTTTTTGTTGCTTCCCAGTGACATGCCGTGAGCGTGCGCCATGTAATACACCCGTATAGGAACCACTGCCACAAGTCATAATTCATTAGATAGTAAATATAAATTCATTCTGATCTGATGCCTGCCGTCAAATCCAGTAGCAAATGTGAGAACAAAATGCAGTGTGACAGCTGGGAGCGGAGGAGACCTGTTAAGCAACCGTGGTTTGCTGGATAACGGCATTACTCGTAGCTAGTTCATCAAAGCCGCACTTAAGAGAGAGAAAGAAACGCGATTGTCACAGCTGAGGGTCTCTGGTTGTTGGTATTTTTGTCTGTAACCAGCTCACTCCTGTCTGCAGCAGGCGTTGCTGCCGTCTGACAGTGCCCACGGGTCCCTGCCCCAACACTGGTGGGAAATGGGCGATCGGAGCTTTACCGGAGCTCCGCACCAGCACACCTCCCACGCCCTCCAGTGTGCGGGGACTGGGGGGGACAGGGGACCCGGCCGGGCAGCTGCAGTGCCTGGGACGAGCAGCTGCTTCCTGAGCACAGGGACCACGTGTGGGTCCGGCCGGCCCGTGCCAGCCTTGCCGTGGCTTGGGAGCGGTGGCATCGGGGATGCCGAGGGCACCTCGGTGCCCTGCTGAGCCCAGCCCATGCCTGGGGCTCGCTGTGCCCCTGCTCGGCTCTCCCGAGGTCTGCACAGGGATGCTGGGGATTTTCAGATACCAGGTATCCCTCAGATTTGTGGGTGAAGGAAAAAGTCTTGCAGTCTCCTACCAGGACAGTGGTGACAATTAGAGATCTGTTGCTCAGCGAGTCCGTGACGTTAGGCCCCCGTCCTTTGGAAATTTCTGTGATGTTCAAACCCTCAGACGGGCTCCACGCTCCAACCTGAAACGAAGGAAGCAAACGGACGCGTGAGTATCTGGCTTGTGTTCCTTACTTGCTCTCAGCATCCTCCTGGCCTGGAAAGTAGAGCTTGCGGCTTTCATCAGCAGCAAACAGAAGCAAAGCTGAAGTTATCATCTTGTATCACCTGAAGAGAAGACCCAGAAATTGACCCAGAAACAGCAAAACGTGTCTCTCGTTGAGATAAGTCATCTGGGCCACCCCAAGCCCCTTAACCTGGTCTCTGCGGTGCAGGGGAGGCTTTAGAAGAAACTTTGGAGGCAGGGCTGGGTAAGGGGCTGTGAGGGTGAGATAACACGTCGGGAAAGCTGGAGGAACGTGGGACTGGTGCCAGCAAACGGAGCAGGGTGGCCATGCAGCCAGCCCGGCAGATAAAACAAAACCCCAGATGGAAATGGGAACTGAACAATCCATCTGTGGGGTCAAACCATGAGATGACATCAGCGAGAAACCAAAGGCAGGCAGCTCAAACCCGCTGGAGAGCCAGGAACCGCTGGTATTTTATTTATTGCTGTTTTTAAGATTCTTCAACCTCTTCAGCAGTCCAAGGAGAGAACTTGGTTTTACTGCATCCCCAAAAAGAGACTTTCTAATGAACAAGGCTGCCTGGCAAAAAAATGCCATAAATTCTAGAAGAGTTTCCATGAACTTTGTGAAAGGGTCTAAATATTTCAGGTAAAACCTAAGCCATTCCCCATACCTCCCTTCGACCACACAAAGCTGCGATGTCGAAAGATTATTATTGTGCTTGGGAAGAGGGAAGCGAGTCTGCGAGGCCCCTGCCAGCACTGCTGCAGACTCGGTGACTGTGCCTTGCTAAGTTCTCTTGAAGAAAATTAAATACACGGCACTTAAGACTGAATTAATCAGTTTAAAATATTGAAAAAGGAAAAAAGTGCATTAAGAGAACTGTGCAAGTCAGATAGTCAAACTACGCGTAATTAGGTTTAGTTAATGCTCCTGTAATCCCTGGAACATCCAGGAGGTATGAGGATCAGGAGTTCAATCCTAAAGCTCAACAAACAGAAGCTATTATACATAAAGCACAATCCGCGTGGGATTTGTTTGTAGTTGGGCATTTTGTTATTGCAGATTAACTATTGACAGAAACCCAGCTTCAGCGGAGATTTGACATCGATACTTTAAAACCCCTCCGGAGCTGACAAGAAGCTTTCAAAAAAATAATAATAGGAACCGTGAAATCTCCGAATGGCTGGAGACAAAAGCTGACGGCTGCGCAGAGAAGGCGCCAGGGTTTGGCGGCTTTATGTGACACACAATAGTGATAAATCCAGCTGGTGCCAGCTCCTCTCCGGCACACCTGAGGAGCGTTGGCTTGACAGATAGGTGCTGCGGTTGTACTTAAACATTTGGATTCACGTGATACCCAAATCCTCGCACGTTTTGCTGTTATTCTGCCGACACAGCTCTCTGGCAGTCCCGTGGTGCCGCTGTGCTCCAAAAAGACGTGTTGGTTTGTGTGGTTTAGACTCTATAAACAACGTGTTTTGTAAAAGAAAAAATCAGGCTACAAAGATCATCTCCTGCGCGGTTCTGGTGAGAAGGGGATGTCTCCCCTGCTCCTCCTGCCTCCTTCCTGCGCAGGCTGGTGGTCGCGGCTGAGGCTGAAGGGCAGGGGGTTTGTTTGGGATGTTTTATCTGTTCTGTGTTTGACACCAAAAAATACCCACTCGGAGCGTGCTGGGGTGACCTTGAGATTTTTTACAAGCAGCAAAGAGCTGCTGCTGTGGTGTGAAAGTGTGGCAACGATTTATTTCAAAGCAAAGGGAAAACAAACGGTACAGAAGGGGGATGGGGCAGCCAAGCTGTTGGGTCCCAGGGAGCAGCACCGCGCAGGATCCGTCCCCCCAAACGGGGGCTGATCAACCTGCTGCCTGCCGCCTCCGGGGGCTGCCTGCCTGCCGGTTTGATTAATTCCCTGGAAAAGTCATCTGCGCGTGCTGGGCTGCTCGCCGCACGGTTAATTGAAAACTCCCTCCCTGTGCTCCCGGCCGGCGTTTCCCAGGGCAGCAGAACCTGTCCCAGTGCCCAGAGGTGACGGGGCTCAGCACCGGTGCCGGGAGGCACCTTGCACGTGTCGAGAAGCAGACTCTGCTCTAGAAGGGGGTTTGCTGCCCTGTTCCCAATGTTCTGCTGTAAGTCTGCAAGCTGCTGTCAGCAGAGCGGGGACGCAGAGGGACTCACAAACGGGGTCCGGCTCTGGGAGCCCTCAGTGCCGATATTTTTAGGGCTGGGCATTGCCTGCTGCTGGAATCAGCTGCCCGCTGTGCAGGGCTTCCTTCCCTTCCTTGCTCTCTTTTATCTTAAATGAACTGATCTCACCTTGAAACCATGTTCTAGGAGCTTTGATGCTTTGCATATTGCCTTTTCTTCTTTTTATTTTTTTTTTTTTTTGGAAGAGTAATTGAAGAAAAGGAAATGAAATCCCCATGAACACCTGAGAAGGGGATTTGCACACCAGCGTTGTATTTCTGTGCCCCGAGGAGATCTGTGCTAATGAGGAGGAGCTGCGGCTGCAGCCTTGGAGCCACCAAACGGGTCCCCTCCAGCCAGCCCGGCAAAACCACACTTTGCTTTTTTTCTTGTTGTTCCTTAGAAGACACAGAGAAGAAATAAACCAAAGTGCACACTGCATCCTCCTGCAGAATCTGGGCTGTAATAAGCTGGTGCCATTTCCCAGCCTGAGGCAATTTTCATTGTGGGAGATCACACCGAGATGATGCTTTCAGGAGCTGTTGCCTCCTCAGGGAAAAATCACTTTTCGTAACCAAGCCCAGGAAGATGGGGGGTGGGACAGGCTTTATTCCTTCCACCTTTGGCTTGGGCAAGGAGAGGTTAATGGCTGCTCAGAAACTTTCTTCTGCTTCCACTATTCCCCAGAAGTGCCACAAGCACTTCTGCGTTGAGTTAGGGTAATCCCACGCATGCACGCTTCGGGGCTGGTGACTCAGAGCTGAGGCATGGAAAAGGATCTGAGAAACCCCACAAAGTGAATATCCTTTTGAATAAAAACCAGAAAACATGGAAACAATAACCACCAACTATTTTCTCTGTTGCCTCAGTGCCAGAGTTAGGCTAAGCCACATGCAGAGAAGACAAACCCTCCCTTACCTTTTCCAGACCATCTTCTTTGAGGCTGATGATGTCCAAATCAAAATCTGTCCGTAAACCACTGGTTTTGTTAAAGACAATTCGTCCCGTTAATCCTTCCCATTGGGCCTGTGGAAAGGAGAAAAAAGAGCAGGGCTGTTATCATGTTGGTATCATAAATAATCTTTTGCCTTCCACTGTATGTTCTTTTAATTAGTCCTTATACTGGTTCTTTCTCCCCAAAGAGCATGATTAATTAATAATCACCTCCGTCACTGCTCAGACTGCAGACAGAGCTGTAGATTTTCTTAACTCTTTTGCAGTCCTTGCTGCAATTCTTGTTCGCACCTTTTGTGTTCACCAGCTGTTGCAGGACATGATGACTCAGTAGAAAACTGCTCGCATTTATCATGGCATCCTTGTGTGCTGCATTTATCCTTGTAGCACTGATAAATGCCGGGCTGCAGGGAGCCGGGGCTTGGGACAGCTCCGGTCAAGCTCATAAATAATCCTCTTCTGCACAAACCTGCTGCTGCTTCCAAAGGGTGTGGAAGCTATGGTGTCCTGAACGCTTCCCTCCTTCCTCTCAGATGGAAAACAGAGCAGAAGAGGCTGAGGGCTTCTCCTAGCTAGCAGGCTCTGTCATTTTGGACCAGGCTTGGGAATCTGGTGGGTGCATGCTGTGTCGGCACCCTGGGTCGGTATAGGCATGGGGCAGGTGCCCAGAGGGGCCGGGGAAGCCCTGTCCCTGGAGATGCCAGCGCTTGACCGGAGGAGGTCCTGCACAGCCTGGTCTGACTCGGGAGCTCGTCCTGCTCTGAGCAGGAGCTTGGGGTAAAGGTGTCCAGATTTGTTTCAACTAAAATCATGCTATGATGCTGTTTATTTTCCACTGTACGCTTTGCAGCACTGCCAGCATCCATCTCTCTGGTTTAGGTGAGAGAGCCCCAGATGCTCGTGGTGCCAGCGGAGCAGGTGCTAGGGGACAGCACGGTGTGCGGTGGCCGCTCAGCCCGGGAGCAGTGCTAGGACGTGCTGTGAGCATCTCCCAGGGAGGATGCTCCCATGGGAATGCCGGGCTGCTCACACCGTTCACTGCTTCCCAATCGCATCTCAGCAGCGAGGAGCTGGGACTTGGGCTCCTTCCCCTGAGCAGTTCAGACCGTGCACACTCCTCGCTGATGAGTACGTTTCCTTTATGGGTGGGGAAGCTTGAAATACCCAGTGTGAAGAAGGTGGCATGGTGTGGGAATGACTGATGTGTTTCCCAGTAAATACGCTCCTCTGGCTCTCCCTCATTAATTCCTGAGGACTAACGACAGCCTCCTCCCAGCCTCGCCACCGTGGGTTTTGGGGAGGGCTGTGCTGGGTTTGTGCAGGTAGTTTGCCTGTGGGATGCGCAGCCTGCA